ACTCTATAAATCTCTCACAATCTCAGCTCATCAGGATCATACAAAATCAGAAGCTTTACCTATTACTAAGCTGTCTGTATGATGGGTCAATCATGAACGATTCGTTCATTTTGAACGAATCTTCAATATGACTCGGGAACTACGAATCCTTTCAGGGAGTGATTTGATTCGTTTATCGGCATGTGTGCACATTTGTGCAGGTATCGTTCATTTCAAGTCTTTTGAGTCGTTCATCGCGAAAAGGCAGAAGCCAATCATATGCTTTTAGAGCCTGAAAACTAAAAATGTATCCATTCACCTCTCGAGTCCTCTATCGGGTCTGAGTCATATTCGTTCATCACGGGCCAATCGCGTTTACAACCGGAAAAACAATTGAATTGAAAGGTGAACTAATTATCATGGCTCCTTTCGGCTCAGACTGTGCACATTGGTTAAGATTATGTGACTGTCAGTGTAACGTAAACGAACCACTGACATTTGAAGACATGAAGAGGTGAGCTGACCAAAGACATAAGCATAAAAGAGCAGGTAAACATTGAATTAATATTTTCTCCTTATAGTATTCTATTTACTCGACTTTTTACTCGACTACACTCGACTTATTTGTCAAGTGATCAACCTTTTGGACTAGTTGTAGATGTGTTTGGAAGCAATTCGTTACATTAGCATTAGTGTTGTTATAATAATAATATTAATAATAATAATAGTAGATAATTGTGCTGATGTTGTGCAGCAAATATGGGTTTCACTTTGATCCTATTGACCACCCATACCGATAAATGAATGGCTGAAAACGATGATTTAAAGTATATTCAAATATACAGGTAAATTTGTGAACTTGACATGGGTAAAACAATGCGGGACTAATCCATCTAAATAAAATAAAAACTACCATCTAAAAAAAAGTCAAACCAGTCATAAACTGTTTGTAGCAGTGAGATTATCTGTTATTGTCAAATTCTCAACACTACAGTATGTGATTTTGTTTGTCTTCTTTCTTTATTTTTTCTGATAAAACTACACTTGGTTACTCAACTTTGGCTCACCCTAGTGGCCTAATACCACAGAAGATAATTATAGACCAGCTATGAAGTCAAGGCACTGTTAAGGCAGTCGTGCAATTCAGGATTATATGGAAGTTCTGTGAACTTTCAAGTCAGGCAGGATGCAGTGATGTGACACTAATGGACATTTTCCGGCACAGCTTCAATGACATGTTGAATTACTTGATGTCTGAGAGTGATGTTCTGGGGATGCCAACTGAATGTATGGCTGCTGTGCAGTTCATCACTGACTGTGGAAATTGCAGAGAAGGAGCTCTGCAATTTAATGATACCCGTCACAGTCTCACTGTGTCCCGGCCAACACGGACAGCCATGAAGGACATACATGACAGCTTAGTTACGGGCACAGTGACTATCCACAAACTTCATATGCTCCATGTCGTTTTCACAGAGGTGCTTACTCTGTTATAGAACAGGCTGTCCAGGATTCGTCTCCACCATAAGCTCCTGATCCATGGTATTATTCTTATCCGTCATGAACTCCTGACCCCCAATCATCTTCTGCTTGTCCTGTTTTGGCAGCTCTGGCATCATGGTCATTTCTTTTGACAGCTTTCCCATTTCAGTTGACTACAGCATGGCCAGCTGATCCCCTATGAGGTTCACCATGGCTTCACAGCACATGTTCTTGCCCAATGCTCCACGGTCCATGGGCTCATCTACTGTTACACAGTCCATGTTCTCGTTCACTGCTCCACGGTCTAAGGGCTTGGCCTCTGCTCTATGCTCCGTGCCCCCATACCTTCCCCTGGTTCTCCTTTGCTCCACCATTACCCTGGACTTAAAAAGTTCTATTTTTCATTGGCAGGTGTGGTCAGTGAATTTAAACTAATTTAAACCCTCTCAAGTTTGCCTTAGTATTGCCTGCTTGTTTATTGTGAAACCCACTGCTGGTGAGTGTGTTTAATCCAGTTTTCAGGTTTAAGCCATGTTCGGGTGAGCTCTTGTTTGTTTTGTATCTTGTTTGTGGAAATTTGAATAAAAACTACACTTGGGTACTGCAACTCACCTCAACTCAGTAGAACAAATTAAATAATTAATAATAATAAATAAACAAATAATAAACTTTAGGAAAATATTCAAATTCATTCTAAAAAATTAGCTAAATATTAAAGTTGGAGCCAACTACCCTGTCAGATCTGTAGAGATTGTGCTAACAATTCTAATGTTTTTAGTAAGCTACAGAAAGCATGCCTTACAGTTAATCATACTTTTTTGCACCCGTCATGTTACAGTTTTTTCATTGTCTAAAAAAAAAAAAAACACCACAGTTCGTATAAAGGTAAATAGAGAAAATCTGACATCTAGTGGCGAAGGTGAAAATTTGTAATACTTGTTGAACTGTGACATCTAGTGGGCTGACAGCTGTGTTTGCTATGCTAACAAAAACGTTTTTAACCAGGTAAGTGTGTATTAAATTAGCCTTTTAGCCTACCCTACCGTTCTGAGAGACAGAAAATACCCAAGCCCAATTCCGATGGAATTTAAAAGGGGTTTAATAGTTACAATGAGACTTGTTTTTAATGAAACTCAAATAGCCTTTGTTACAGTCTACTGGTAATTTTTGCCTTTGTGGCATGTTATCCAAAAAAAAAAAAAAAAAAAGCTCCAAAACACTAAGCCATTCAAATGTAGCAATTTAGCTTTGGTTTGATTTTTGTTGCAATAACGTAAAAAAAAGCCTTAGAACTTCTGTGACTGTTTTACAGTTTTTCTCCATTGGTTTGGCTAATTTCTTGAAACAGAAATTACATTCTCACAATTCTAAGATCATTTGGTAAAACAGTGTTACAGTTTAGCAGAACACTATAGCTCACTTGCAAAAGCTCATATCTCTCCCAAAACAGTTCACTCATGCATCAAAACTAAATTCCTTTCCCATATAGAAAGTCAGTGCCACAAAAAAGGCAAATATCCTTCTCAGTTGCTTTGGCTTATTTCTTGAAACAGACCGGACATTCTCAACACTCTTGGTGCTTTTGCCAAAATAATGTGGATGGTTTGGCACAACACCATGCACCTGCAATGGCTCATACCTTTCCCAAAACAGTTCACTCATGTGTCAAAACTAAATTTCCTTCTCATTTAAACAGTCAGTGCCCCCAAAACACTTTGTCCCTTTAGCATTGTGTAAGCACTGCAAGTCAAAATGTTTAGTTGTTTTGTCATTATGGCAAAGGACCACTAAAATATCCCTCATGCCACCTTACAGTCTTAGCCCAGTCCTTCACTGACAATTGTTACTGTACTGTTTTGTCTAGCTAACAGAATACAATTATGTATAAAAATGAAAAAAAGAAATAGGATTTTAGGGTAAGATTATCCTCCAAGGTTTGACGTCACACATTGCACTCACACTGCCAAGGAAATGGTAACATCTTTTTTTATTGTAATGATCAACCACACACAATATAACTTCCATATATCAGAGCAAAAAGAAATTGTATACAGCAAAATAAACTGTAATATAAACACACAAACAAAAAAAAACTAGAGTGCTATAAATAAAGCTGGAGTTTCATAACAGTTCTTCACTGCCTGCTGTCCTCACCCTCCTGACCATCCACACGCTGCAGCCTGTGTGGCCACAGATTCTCATCCACATCACAGCGTATATTCTCTCTTGCGATGCAACGAGGGAAGAAATGGTATGAATGTCGCAAACATCCCCTACAATGATTAAATGTACCAAGCATTCATCTACTGTATGGTATTCATGGTATTATGGTCTTGACTAATTTTGACAATTGAACAAACTATTGTGCATGTGATGACTTACAGTATACAATGAAATGACGCTAACACGTTTTGCAGAGAACAACCATTAGACTGAGAATTGACAATCAGTTTAGATCGACAAGATCTATTCACTTGGAAATTGTGCTAAATGTAGTAATCTGTACTTAATCTGCTAAAATCTGTACTTAATCATTTGCAAAGATGTACTAAGACATTTGCAATTTGAAGAAATTAATAAGAAATTAAATTCTGTTGTGAACAATTGCCAAGTGGTTAGGAGGTTTGTCCATGTTGTTTTGAGAATGTAATTTCTGTTTCAAGAAATGAGCCAAACCAATGGAGAAAAACTGTAATTTTATTCCATTTGTGCCTTTTTCAATTGGTTAGGCTGAAGTAGACCATGTTTTTGTTGGATATGGCTGAACTGCATGATGAATGCACTGCATAAAAATGCTTTTTTACCCAGAGGTTTTGTCTTGTTTCTTGTCCAAATATCTACAAATTCCTAAATCAAGAAGCATTTTCTAGACAAGAAAGGTTTTGAGAAATGATGTGTCAAAATTGAGTGAGTTTTTCCTTAAAACAAGCTAAATAATCTACCAATGAGGTAAGAAAAGATTCTTCTTTAGATTATTTTGCCTACCCCATTGGCAGATTATTTTTATAATATTTTTTTATATTTTTATATTATTTAATTAAGGCAAAACTCACTTAATTTTGGCATAGTAGTTCTTAAATCAAGACAAGTTTAGCTTGTCTACAAATTGCTTTTTGAGTCAACAATATTTAGATATTCAGACTACAAACAAGACAAATAATCCAAGTAAGAAAAACATTTTTATTTTATTTTATTTTTTTTTATTTTTTGCATTGGGATAAATGATCAGACTATTTTTCTACCAATAAGAAACTTATTTCATAATCTGTTGCACAGGTAAATTGAGTACAGTTTGTTAGACTTTGGAATTCACCAATACAAACACAGATTTATGTCATTCAGAAAGAGATTTTGAAATCATGAAAGGATTGCCAGTGCTCATACCTGTAGGTGCAGTTGTTTCAGTCTTTCTGTGATTTGTTGATGACAGCTTTATCTTGAGTATAACCTACTAAGTTTTCTGAGATTACTAGACTTAAACATGGTCTAGTGAGCAGCAGCACTCATGATCTAATAATTCTGTCACGAGATATTTGTGTACATGTGGGATTAGACTAGCTGAAGTTTTTTTTCCACGTATTTCAGCAGCTCATTGAAGACTATTGGAGATGGCGTCTGAGAAAAAGGACACCGGTGAAGTTTTGAAGGATCAGGTAATGTTTCATAGTGAGACAGTTGGCGTCCTCTTGCCGACAGCTCAGTTTTTCTTTTTGAAGGTTGTTGTCTTTCACTTTTTAATATGAATGCACCTGTTCTTTCTTGAGGGTCAGTGTTGTTTATCAGCATGTCCAAAACTGTTCTAGTCTATTTAAAAGACAGATCACATAAGTATTACAAATTATGAAGTAAAAACTGACTTTTTATGAACTTTTTATACATTTAACTCTTTTAATTAGCATATTTGAGCAGTTAATTTGTATTTTATATATTAATATTCTGTTAAATTAATGGTAAAAATCATATTGTGTTTTTTCTTCCAGAATGTATTTTTTCGAATCCTCAATATTCGGTCTGTCAATGCTGCTCTGGAATCTATTGAGAAGACGTACACTAGTACGAAGCAGTCTCACCCCATTATAAGCTCTGTTTGTGGCCTGTATGAGAAGGGTGTGAGTAGGGCTGGAAATCTGGCTGTGTGGAGCATGAAACCTGCCCTCCATGTGCTACAACCCCAGCGTGAGTCTCAGTCTTCTTCCTCGCACAATAATACACAATATTAATATTATTATATAATTGTATATGTCTGTGAATTAATAACATCAACAGTCTCAAAACTCCTAGTCTCAAACAAAAAGGATTTATTTTATCTAACATAGAACACTTCTCAAGACCTAAAACCATTGATCTACTATTACAGGAGTCAACATTGAATCAAAACAAGTTTATGAAAATTGTCTAAAACATTTGAAAGAAACCTATTCTTATCTTTTGCCGTTTTATGAACCACTTGGGTCACTAATGAAAATTGATGTTTTTTGTTTATTATATTAATTTGGTAAATATAAATATTGTAAAAATGACTTTGGCAAAACAGTCATTTGATATACATTAGCCATGTAGTGGCTTAATTTGAAGTGTCATGTTATTTTACAGATCCATAAAAATTGGCGTTTTACCAGATAATTATTTTATGACAAAAAAATAAACTAATAAACTACTATAATATGTAAAAATACATCAATCTTATACTACTAGTAATAATAAAATAAAATGTATATTTTCTAGGGTTTTTTAATTATAAGATTCAAACTGATGTTGCAAACCATGCAGTGCAGTGTACAAGATAAACTAAAAACAAGAATTAGCTAGTCAAATTATCAGTTGCATAAAGTATTTGTGTTTTCAGCAAGCAAATGTGCTCAAACGTAAAAAAAAAAAAGACACTGCAATTCATTTTCTAGTTTGCCACTAAATGTGTCAGTACAATAAAGTTTAAACTTTTTTTTAACCTATTAAAAGTCTTTTTTTTTTTTTTGTGAAGAAAAAAGTTTTAATGATATCCTGCCAATTAGAAAATGTGCAGAGATTTTAATGAGCTGTTTTGGTCTTCAAACGTAGATATTGATGCTTTAGTTGGGGATTTTCTGTCTAGACACAGTGTGACACATTAATTACTTCTGACATGTAGTGATACTGAGCTTCTGAAAAGTCAATGTTAAATCTAAAACTTTAGTGATTTGTTTATTGCATTGAATACATCTTGACATCTATTGACATTTAATTGTGATTTATTAGATAACAATAAAATATCATTTATTTAGATAATTAAAACATTTCATGCACATTGAAGTTGAGTCAAGATGCATCAATCTCCACTTCAGCAACTCTTAATTTCTCCTTTGAATTGTATATAATTAAAAAGTTTGAACTAAATACTAATTGGTTCATTTTTAATTAAATAGTGCCTCATTTGTATATTTAAACATAACATTTTAGAAAACCTGTATTGCAAACAAGATTACAGTTCTTAATATAATCAGTCACCTGCACGAGGAAGTATTTGTATTTCAAAAAGTATTTAATGAACATACCAATCAAAAAGTCTAAGTACTATTTCTTTTTTGCAAATGGTCCTTTAAAAGCCTTCACGTGTCATCAAACATTAATAACTGTGTAAAATCTTTCTTTTGTCTTTTTGAGATTTTGTAGAAATAGATTCAAATTAACTCAAATTCACAGTTGGGATATGTAGTGCAATCGGGGTTGTAGTTTGCCGTTGCAAAACTGAACTCTGGGGTCAGTGTTTGGGATTATATGACTAATTGGGCAACAATGTTAAATATTTGAGTGTTTCAAGGACCCACTTGAGCATTACAAAAGACTAATCTGCTGAGTGACCTTATTACAATTTACTAAAGCTTTGACTTGCCTGTGTAGATTTCATTTTTGTAATGAGCTAATGCTTCGACATCATGTAGTCTGGTGCTGGATAATTCTTTTTCTATGTACTCTAACAGCATCATTGTGAAAATCTATAAGGTACAGAGAGTATGTAAACTACCTAACATCTTTCTATTGTTTTAATTTAAAAAAAAAAAATAATGTACACAGTATATTTTACAGCAAGCAACAATGAAGTTAATGAAAATTAAAATAAAAAATATTAATCAAAGAATTGTGAAAAAAATCATGATTTCCAGTAAATGTAATCAGGACTACTGTTTTACAGCATTAATAATTGTGAGACATGTTTCCTGAAGACCAAATCAGAATGACTTCTAGATATGTCTGTCTGCCACTAGCTAAGAATAAAAATAGCATAAGTTTGCAGTATGCTAAAAAATGTTAGCATAAACATGTTTCAAAGTGTGTTAAAATATGTGTTAAATCAGTGTGAAGAATATTACAAGCATGTTAAAATCAAATCATTTTTACATTTCAGCATAAAACAAGTTCGGAACCCATTAAAACATTTTGGCCATATGCTTTAGCGTAATAATACGTAGTCTTTAGCGTAATAAAGTAGTCTGCCCTAACCCACAGTTAAATGTGTTAAAATGTGTTTAAAAGTTGCATTGTGAAAATTACTGTATATTTTACACTACAGATATACAATACTGTAAATGCATACACAAGGTAAATAGTGCTATAAATGTACAGTAAATATAGTATTTTTTCTGTAATTAATTTACAGTAAGTTACTGGTGAATTGAACTGTAATATGACTTTTACTGTAGGACAGTTATGCAGTATCTTATTGTATTTTAAATTTGTATTATAAAAATGACTATATTTTACAGTAATGATATACAATCCTGTTAATACATATACAGCAATGGTGCTGTAAATGTAAATACAGTACTTTTGCTGTAAACGGTTGACAGTATGTTACTGCCATACTGTTGTCAGTAAGTTACTGTAAATTCTGCAGTATATTGTTAACAGTGATGATTTAATTAGGCCAATAGCATGCTTAAGATGCTATCAATGGCTAAATCATGCTGACAAAGTTAAAATGTTATCAGTCAAGATAACCCCATGTTAATTCAGGTTAGTAAAATACTTAGGTGTGTTAGAACGGTGTTAGCAAAATGCTAACAAAACCAAACAAATGATAAAAACAAGTACACAATGTATTACAATGTATTAAAATTGGCTAGCAATGTTAGCTAAAAGAAAGCACATAATTGCCCCAGCAAACACATAACAGTATTTATTTTTATTTTATTGTTGTTATCTTTTGATAAAATTTAAAACAGCCTTTGTGAACATAAAATTCTATTCAACATTAGATTTAGAAATTAAAGGTTAGCCTTGTTAATTTTGATTTAGTTCTTAAGGCTTAGTGTTAGCAAGGGAAAACTCTTTGAAGTAACATTTAACATTTTTACAGAATGCATGTGCTTCCATTAAAAATTGCTGCACCTGCATGTTATAAAACAATAACTTGTCTTACATATTTGTATATGATAATTAAATATTCATAGTTGTAGCAGCAAACTCAATGGCCTGCAAAGGACTGGACCGACTGGAAGAGAAGGTACCAGCATTGCAATCTCCACCTGCAGAGGTAAAATTATTTGGATGTTTAAATCTGTTTGCTAATACTACTCTTTAAGTTGTTAACTGGTTTTCTTTAACCGTGGGCAGACATTTAGCTAAGATGTGGGTGGTTTGTTTGCTTTCTACACAACAGCTGGCAGCAAACATAAAGGGGCTAATGTCTTCAACCCTGGAAGCCGCCAAGGATGGGATCACCTGTCCAATCAAACACAGCTCTAATGTTGTTCTGGACAAGGTTTCTTCAAGGTACCAGCAGAGTAAGAACACTCTCAGTGGCGGCATACAGTACATCCTGAACAGCAAGCTTGTCTTCTTGGCTGAACAGAGAGCCAGCAGGGCTCTAAGTCTAACAGAAAACCTGATCGACTGCATCCTTCCTGGAACTTCAGACAAGACAGGTATTTTAATTATGTTGTGGTTATTCTGACCCTTTTAGTCGTACAATACATAGCCATATCATTGGGGAAATACAAATAGCTAAATATTTGTGCTTTTAAAGCTGGGCACTAGATGTCACTGAAGCTTCATTGTTGAAGTAATGAATTCCTAAAAGATTACTTCTTTGATAACGTTGTATGGGTTCACAATAATATTAAAAGGTTATGTCTTCCATATAAGTAAAAAACCCAAATGTAAATCAAAATGTGGGATGAAGATAATTCAAAAATAAAAAAGTGATAAAACAGTGAATTGAGAAACCAAGTCATAGTCATAGTCAAGTTATAGAAATATGAGTTTATAAGATTCACAGCACATTATTTGATATTTAAACATTTTGTTACAACCTTTTATGGCATATTAGTGGAGTGCCAATGGTGTTTAGCTGGAGAGGGAAACATGATTTTCACAATAGCCGGTTCACAGTTGTTTTCACACTGCACGACTATCTAGGTTAGCTCTCAGTTGATGTGTGTTCATACTGCATGATGGATCAATGACATGAGGATACAAACTGCTGGACTATAAACAATTGCCAACAACTCTGTCTGGCTTACAAACGCATGCGAGAAGTGATAAGATCATTCAACATTACATCCAAGACTATAAATGGCACCCCTCCTGCAATAAATATTTTAAATAATCTGCCATTCAAATGGTTTGTTTGCTGAATGTTTGTCTACAGCTAAAGGGCACAAAGTAAAAAGAAACGTTTGGGGGAATGCAGGGGACAAGGACTGTGCATTGAGCAAAGAGAGAAAAAAAATAGTTAGAGAAAAATACTTTATTGCTGCTGGGACTGATCAAGCACATGTTTCTTTGTTTCTATTTAATGTTATTGTAAAGCTTATGTTTTCTAATATTGTGGTCTATAATTCTTCCTTGACTCTCCACTGACCTGTGTCCTTCTCTCTCATTGGCTGTAGGCCATTCCTGATGTGTTTTTTAGTCAGAACTCATTTCAAACAGCGTGATTTTTTTCTGATCGTGTTTTGATCATTCCTTCTTTGTGTCCTACTATACTCTCAGAAATAGTGGTACGCGAGATGTCACTGGGGTGGTACCTTTTCAAAAGATACAAATTTTTACTTAAAGGGTCCTTATTGGTACCTCAAATGTATAAATTAGCGGCGCTGCGTAAAGGGGCGGGATTAAACAAGCTTATTAGACATTTAAAAAAGCGAGTGATTGCTCCTTGTTTGAAATATCTGCCCAGAGATGTCATGCTTTGATCCTCGATTGATCTCACGCAGTCAAGTGATGCGATTTCGCAGGTCAGAGTTCACCAAGCTTGAACTTTGCACCACAGCAACCTGCGAAACTTGACGCATGACCCTGCGTTTCTGGTCTGACGCATCCACGTGCGTATGAATGGAAGTCTATGGGAGGAAAAGCCCAGTGTGACCGCAGCTTTGGCGAGGGAAATTCAGGGCAACAATTGATCAGTGTGAGCTTAGCATAAGGCACACCTGTGTATTAATCATGGCATCTAATTAACATCTGAACATTTTAATTAACCTTACTTGTGAAATAATGGATTATCTCAGCAAAGGAGAAGTGATCAACATAGATTAAGACAAATGTGTGAATGATACTTGAGAGAACGTTCGAGGTTACAGAAGTAACCCTCGGGGAACGGAAGTATTATAAGTGGATTTGATGTTCTAAATCCACGTATGAGAGATTCGGTTCAGAAGCTACTTGTCTGAAAGAGTATTGAACGGGCCCATGAAAGCAATGAATTGGCAGCGTAAGCTTGCGCAGGTGCGCTGCATCGCCAATTAACTGAGCATATAAGCACACATGGCGCCAGCAAACGCTATCCTTTTTAAGCTGAAGAGACTTTTAACAGCTAAGGGACAGTCATTATGGCGACGGAGTATAGTACTTCCGTTCCCCGTCCTCGGGGAACGAAGGGTTACTTCTGTAACCTCGAACGTTCCCCTTCGGTTGGGGAACTCCAGTACTATAAGTGGATTTGATGTTCTAAATCCACGTATGGGAGTCCATTGAAAGCACCATAATGACTGCACCTTACCAACGCCTCCGATGAGAGGGCTGTCAGGCAAGCGTGACGCACCCAAATCATGGAAGGCGTGGTCCTCCAACATGCCCTTGGCCCTAACTTATTCCCACTTCAAAAAAAGCTTTACGGAATAGGTATATTTTTTTGGGAGTCGCTAGCGTCTAGATAATTCTAGGAAATACGACAGTACGTTAGGAAGCGTGCAATCCCGGTTGGGAGGACGCTGCGGAGACCATCCGCACCCAATAGGGAGACAAATGGAATTACATATGGACTAACCCTAAGAAGGGGGAGTGCGCATAAGAAGTTGGTTAGCGGATAGGGAAGGCACGGGTCCACCCAGGGGGGGACTTAACCGTGGCGGAAAAAGCATATGGGGATCACCAGCGGGGATCGCACATAACAAGCACCTATACCCAAAAACGCGGGCTGACCAGCGGGCAGACCTAACGTAGTGGGCCAGCGAGTGACTCCTCCGCTGAGTCAGTGCTGGGGGCCTCGGAGGAATCTGCAGGGCTCACCGAATGGGGAACTTTACTGACAGACAGGAAGGTGCACATCTCTCCGTGTTATGGAAAAAAGGCACCGCAAGCGTGCTACAACACCCCACCGAGTTGTTTCCTCAATCACCAAAGGTACCTAACACCCTTGAGGAAACCAGCTTCACTCGCAGATTGTAAAACCTTGCAAATGTGTTGGGTGTCGCCCAGCCCGCAGCTCTACAAATGTCTGTTAAAGAGCACATGAAATGGCCTCCACAATCCAGTGGGATAATCTTTGTTTGGACACGGCACTTCCCTGCTGCCGTCCGCCATAACAGACAAAGAGCTGCTCAAAAGATCTAAAGTACTGAGTACGGCCCACATAAATGTGCATGGCGCGAACTGGACAAAGTAAGGAAAGGGCTGGGTCTGCCTCCTCCGGGGGCAGCGCTTGCAGGGTTACTACCTGATCTCTAAAGGGAGTGATAGGAACTTTGGGCACATAACCCGGGCGGGGTCTCAGGATAACGTGAGAATAATCCGGCCCGAATTCCAGGCACGAGTCACTGACCGAAAATGCCTCCAGGTCCCCGACCCTCTTAATGGAGGCCAACGCGACCAGCAGAGCTGTCTTCAGGGAAAGAAATCTTAAGGATACTGAATCGAGTGGCTCGAACGGATCAAATCGCAGGCTCGTGAGAACGAGGGCGAGATCCCAAGAGGGCGTGCGAGGGGGGCGAGTTGGATTAATTCGCCTAGCACCTATGAGGAACCGGATGATGAGGTTATGCTTTCCCACGGTGCTGCCAGCCACCGCGTCAGGGGCGAGGGTGCCAGATGGTGCCTTGTCCCTGAGAGAGTAGGTTCTCTCTCAAAGGGATCCGCCAGGGGAGGGCTGTCGCGAGGAGGGAGAGCTCTGATATCCAGGTCCGGTTGGGCCAGAGGGGCGCAACTAACAGAACCTGCTCCTCGTCCTCCCTGACCTTGCACAGTAACTGCACGATCAGGCTCACTGAGGGAAACGCATACTTCCATATGCCCCGAGGCCAGCTGTGGGCCAGTGCATCCGTGCCCTCGGTCAGGGAATAAAACAACTGGCAATGAGCGTTCTCGGGGGAAGCAAACAGATCGATCTGGGCCTCCCCGAATTGCGCCCATATCAGCTGAACAGACTCGGGGTGGAGTCTCCATTCTCAAGAGTGAATCTGCTGCCGTGAGAGCGCATCGGCTGCGCGGTTGAGCATACCTGGGATGTGAATGGCGCGCAGCGACTTCAGCCGCGGGTGACTCCAGAGAAGCAGACGGCGGGCGAGCTGAGACATGCGGCGAGAGCGCATACCCCCCATGCGGTTGATATACGCTGCCACCGCCTTACTGTCCGTCCTGACCAGCACGTGTTGCTGCTCCAGCACCGGAGAAAAACGGCGGAGAGCAAGGAACACTGCCAACAGCTCTAGGTGATTGATATGCCAATGCAGCTGGGCACCTACCCACAGGCCCGCAGCTGCTTGCCCGCGACACACGGCTCCCCAGCCTGTGCTGGAAGCATCTGTTGAGACAACAATATGACTGGACGCCTGTCCCAGAGGCACACCGGCCTGCAGAAACGAGGGGTCGTTCCAGGGGCTGAGGGTGCGGCAACACAGCACAGTAACAGAGACTCGGTGTGCGCCCGCATGTCATGCGCGTCTTGGAATTGGATCTTGAAGCCAGTGCTGAAGTGGTCTCATATGGAGCAGTCCGAGCGGCGTGACAGCCGCAGCGGAAGCCATATGCCCCAGGAGCCTCTGAAAATATTTCAGTGGGACCACAACTTTGCTGTCGAGCTCCCTCAGACAGTTCAGCAGCAGGCGAACGCGCTCTCCGGAGAGGTGCGCTACCATGGTGACCGAGTCCAGCTCCATCCCGAGAAAAGAGATCCTCTGCACCGGGGCGAGTTTGCTCTTTTCCCAGTTAACCTGCAACCCCAATAGGCGAAGATGCCGGAGCACCTCGTCTCTGTGCGCAGTCAATTGCTCCCGAGAGTGGGCTAAAATCAGCCAGTTGTCGAGATAATTGAGTACGCGGCCCGCAAGCCGAAGGGGTGCTAGGGCACCCTCCGCGAGTTTGGTGAAGACCCGCGGAGACAGAGAGAGCCCGAAGGGGAGGACCTTGTACTGCCATGCTCGACCTTCGAACGCAAACCGCAGAAACTGGCGGTGGCGTGGAAGAATGGAGACATGAAAATACGCGTCCTTCAGGTCTATGGCTGCAAACCAATCCTGAGGGCGGACGCATCGGAGGATGCGCTTCTGCGTAAGCATTCTGAACGACAGCTTGTGAAGGCAGCGGTTCAAAACGCGGATTGCCCGTGACCCACCGCTCTTTTTGGGTACGATGAAGTACGGGCTGTAAAGCCCGCTCTCCACCTCGGCTGGAGGTACCGGCTCGATTGCACCATTCGCCAGGAGGG